TATGTTTACGTGTCCGAGCGTTTAGCTGTGATATTTCAAAAGTTAAAAAATTACCTACAGTGTTATGGGCGACCATTAAGGCTTAATTTACAATAGACTTCTGCAGCAATTTAGTTTCATAAAAAAGTAAAGCCTGGTATACAATTGTCACATAAGGCCGAAAATTAGACATGAGCCCGTCGCACACTGGTCCGAATCGTGCTTGACCTTGGCCAAAACCCCAAAAATAAAGTTATTAATTATGACATTATTTTAATTCATACAGGTAGAGAAATGTTTGAAGTATTTAAAAACCAAAGCGTTTAGGTATAAAATCGCCCTACATGATCCCTAGGGCAGTTTTATTTAACCCTTTTTTGCAATTGCTTGGAAACAGTTATTGTGTTGATTTTGATTGTGCAACAAAAGTGCTATTATTTCGTTAACGACTTGTTCGATTTTAACAGTTCAAAATGGAAAATGTTTCTGAAGGTATGTACAATAATTTTATAAAATTACATTTTTGAAAAAAAAAATTATTTGTTTTTAAAATTTATACTAACATAATGGCCTGATTTTAAATTTTTTTTCGATTTTTTCGTTTTTTTTTACTTGGTATAAGTTAAAATGTGGGCATTTGCGGAAGACGTTTTTTACGGGGAAACGTTCATTGAAGTGTCTATTATAAGGTTCTTAAAAAATTGGCTGCAGCCACTTGCGCGAAAATTAATAAAACAATAATATACACGTTCGTGCCCGGATTTGAGACAGTAGTCGCGGTTAAACGCAGTGATGCTTAGTAAATATATTTTTTAAGATTTTATAATAGGATAACAAATATACAGAAAAAATTATTTATGCAAAGATATTCGTCAGTACCGCGAAAAGTCAATGTCGGACGTTTTTTGTCGGCTCCTTGTAACCTCGGACCCGCTTATTATAAGCTTACCAAAATTAAAGGTGAAATCCTTGCATCCTGCTGTCATTGAGCTCCTTGAACCTATTAAATAAAGTGCAGCTGAAGAAATAGACATTGATGACTATGACTTTTAATGTAATAGTATAATTTTAATTTAATAAACATTGAAATTTTGTACGCAAGTGTATTTTATTTTTTCATTTCCCATTTGACAATTATTACAATAATACTAAATTAGTAACCTTACAACCGAATTAGGCCGAACGTAATACTCACAATAAATTAATAATTAAAAAAAAATCCGCCATTTTTGGTACATTGGTTTGTATTAAATAATTTTGATATCAAATTCAGGATTAGCGACTGCAAAAATTAAAAATTTCAGGACGATTAACAATTTTTTTTAAATTCGCCATTTTTGGTCCACCATTTTAAATTTACTAATTTTGATTTTAAATTCATGATTAACGATCCCAAAAACCTAAAAATTAACATTTTCAGGACGATTAATTAATTATTTTAAAAAAATCCGCCATTTTAAATTTAATAATTTTGATAATAAATTCGTGATAAGCGACCCCAAAAACCTAAAAATTAAGATTTTCAGGACAATTAACTAATTATTTTTAAAAAAAGTCCGCCATTTTTGGTCCGCCATTTTGAATAATAATTTTAATATTAAATTCGTGATGAGCGACCCCAAAAACCTAAAAAATAACATTTTTTAGGAGAATTAACTAAATATTTTTTTAAAAAGTCCGCCATTTTTGGTGCGCCATTTTGAATTTAATAATTTTGATATCAAATTTGTGATAAGCGACCCCAAAAACCTAAAAATTAAGATTTTCAGGACAATTAACTAATTATTTTTAAAAAAAGTCCGCCATTTTTGGTCCGCCATTTTGAATAATAATTTTAATATTAAATTCGTGATGAGCGACCCCAGAAACCTAAAAATTAACATTTTCATGACGATTAACCAATTATTTGTCAAAAAAGTCCGCCATTTTTAGTCCTCCATTTTGAATTTAATAATTTTGATATCAATTTCGTAATCAGCGACCCCAATAACCCCAAAATACAAATTTTAACATTATTACATTCACTTTTCGAGTTTTGGCCAGAGAATAAGTCGATTTGGACCAGTGTGCGTCGGCAAATATAGTGAACAGGCATCAGAAGCCGTTCGTTCTGATTTTTCTACTAGGTGGAAGAGGTACCGTCAAACGGGGCGAATCAGGACTAAGGGGTCATTTGGGACAAATCGATTTTGCACATTTGGCGAATGTTTTCAAGACGAAAAATGGATGTTTCTTAAAGTAGACACTCTGGGCATCTTCTTGAAGGATGTGGGCATTAGTTCGCTTATAAACACCGGACATGGTGTTACGGTGGGCGCGACAAAAAAAATACGTAATTTTAATACAGCGCGAAGTTCTTGTTGGTACTGGTACTTAAAATGATTTTTGAGCTCCGTCAATTTATTTAGAGTATCTCAAACATTTTAGTCACCTGTTGCGCCTAAGCAAAAGTTTGTAAGTTTTATAGTTTTTTTTAATCATTTTTTTTTTATTATTCTTGTCACCTTATGGCGTCAATTGGGGCAATGGTCCGCACCTATAAAAGAACCCCTGTGGGGCAAAATTTATCAAAATTATGACCCGCGAACATTACAAATAGTGTTGGGTCAGATCCGAAGGGAAAGGATGACCCTCTTGTTTTATCTGCCAATTAAAATATAAAGGGCTTTATTTAAGGAGCTAAATAAATAGGCTTTTCTAATATGACGTCATCAATGAAAACTGTTATTTTTTATATTTTTTGTCCCTTACGCGGGGTTAATCAAACATTTTTGAGCAAAAAAGCCTCTGTCCTGATTGACCCCAAATGCGGGGTCAATCGGGACACCTCTAAAAATATTTTTTTTGCGTTTACGATATCGCCGAAAATGACCCATAGAAACCAATAAGAGAATGAAATGGTTTGTACCGGACTGAATATGTGTATTGGTACTGGTTTTTATTAAGGTGACCAACTATTTTTTGTTCAAAAAGAGTACACTTTGCAAGTACAGTACTTCATAGGTGAAAAAAAACGATAAAAACCCTATTTTATTTTAAAAACATATTTTTCTTCAGGGTGGATTTTTTTGCTAAGTAAGGATGTTCGTCTAATAATGTAGCCACATCCGAACAAATTTCATTTTGCATATTGACTGCTAAGACGGCAGATAATGTTTTTACAGTGTTTTTCTCACTGCTCCAATAATCATTCCCTAGTGAAAATACCCTTTCAAAAGCAGCATTAGTGCCTGGACAACATAAGGAAATTTCTATTAAAACTTAAATTTTCATGTGGGATATGTTCTACTCTAAAATGCCGAAAGATTTCTACGCATCTTTTGTTAAGTTTCATTTTCTCATCGGTCGTTGTTAGAAAAAGAGGTCTGTAGTATCCATAGATTTCTTTTTAATCTATGGTAGTATCTATTATCTCTCTATACATTACTTTATAGGTACATAATACGGCCTCTCAATTGTGCCGGAAACGGCAGCAATATGCGCGCGTGAAATTCAAATCACTGTCAAATTAATTTTAAATATTTAATTAATAAAATTGAAATTAAATAATCTAAAAAAATCTTTTAGAAATACAAATGAGTATAAAATTATACAAATGAGTACTTTCAGAGTACAGGATTTGAAAAGAGTACGGTTTGCGAAAAAAGAGTACAAAACTCAGTAAATGAGTATACCTAGTTGGTCACCTTATTTTTATTGGGTTCTATATGTCGCCAAATGGTTTTAGGGCTAAATGGGAAATACCCAATCAAACCAATTCAAGACAATTATGTTTTCCAATTGATACCAATTCACCAGATTCAAACCTATAATACCCAATACATTACAACATAAATTCCCATTGGTTTCTATTGTTCTTAAAGGGGCATTTTCGGCAGGGATAAAAGCTAAAAACTCGCACGAAGCATTGTTTAAAAGTAGAAACAAAAATTGTTGATTTATCTCATTTAAATAAAAAGATATTCAGGAAAATAACTGAAAATCGTCCCGATTCGCCCCGTTTGACGGTATAAAGTAAATGGATCACATTCAGATTTTGTGTTTCAAAATTCCGTTTGTTACTATAAAAATTTACATTTATAATAAATATTAATATACGGAATTCCGTTTGTTAATATAACAGTTCACATTTTATAATAAATATATCTTTATCTACAATTTGGATTAAAAAAGTTTGCAAACTTACTTATATAACGTAGAATTCTGCGTAGGTATAGTATAAGGAGAATGTCCCCAATTGCACTTTAGAATATACGTTTTATCGTACATAACAGATTCTATCCACCCTTCATTAAAAGTATTCAGTTGTAGTAATTTAAAAAGAAATCACTGTGGAATTATTTTAAAATTTGATTTTTCTAAATAAAAAAAAATAAGGAATCGAGCTGTACCGTCAGATTTGGTGGACAATTTTTTTCGCTATTTCAGATTTTGCCGAACCGTGATGTATGTATGTATAAAAAAATAGCTTGTTAATTTAAATTAAATTTATTATTTACAATAATTGTCAACATAAGCAATAAAATCTTAACAATCTAAAACTCCCTAGATCTGAGAGTAAAAATATCTGCCAATTTAGTTTTTAGTCTCTTCAAGATTTTGTCTGCCTTAATTTTAACGATTTTTGCTTTATTCCCATCTGGCAACACTAAGTGAACGCATTTTAAAGACCTACTTGACAACGATTATTTTTACTTAATGGAAGAGAATTATTTAAAATAAATAACTAATTTTTGTATTAAATTTAAGGTTTACGTCTTTAATTACAATTTTGGTTAGTTAAGGTTAACCTAATTTTTTAGATTATCTTTAATAGAAAAATATTTTGTTTATTGTGTTTTTTAATTTTTTGTACTATAATTTTAATAATATTAAAAAAATTCTGAATTAGTTAAAAAATTATAAATTATATTTAAAAAATACACAAAACTTGTGACCATCAATTGGACACTGATTGTTTATTAAAACATGTTTCTTTTTGTGAAATATGAAGGTAATGTTTATTCATTTTTAGTACTTACTTTAATTCCGGTACACCTAAAAAAGCCCCATCAGGTCCATATAGTATACTATCCAAAGGAATCTCAGATCTGTTAGTCTCTTCATTAAAAAACCTTCCATAAGGCTGTCCAAAATAATTTACTCTGTACTTAAATTCATCTATAAGTTTTTCCTCTTGTGTACGACTGTCTTGTTCATAAGGATACTCAATTTTTTCTAAAAACTTATTTTTAAAGAAGCCATCCTTACAGGTTGGGAAGTTAATTGAGAAAGTGAAGTAAGTACAAACTCCAAATGATGATGTGGGGCAACAAATATCACATAAACAATTGCAACACATTTTTGTGCAATCATTATTACTTTGGCATACATTATTTTTATCACATTTGCAAAGGTTTATTTTTGATAACTCCAAGTTTTCTTCTTTTTTAACAAATAAGGCCATTTGGGAACAGCAACCATATTTTTCAGTACCAGATGGTCCATAGGCAATACCATCAAATGAGACATCGTATTCAGGAAATCTTGTCACTATGTTATAAGCCCTAGCATGTACAAAATGTTAAATTATCCAGAATGTGCACCCTATAAAATTGAATGTGCTTATTGCTTACCAATCTTCAAACTGCTGCCGACTCCATTCAAACTTGTGATCATAATGTCTAAATTTCATATTCTTATTATTAAAAACTACATTAAAATCAGCATTTGGGGTGGTAATTATAACTAATTTTGGTTGTATGTAACCAAATATGTTATATGGAAAAGCTTCCAGTACATCGGGATATAAATGTTCAATTCTAAACAAAACAAAAATAATAAGAAGAAAACAATGTTACGAAATATTACAGTTCAATAGCTACCACAGCATCAGTGTTAAGTAACTGGGGATCAGGATTGGAAACACTTCCACAGAAAACATTAATGTTCAATGGATTATCTCTTCTTTTTAAATACTCAACTGTTAGTGGTCTTAATTTATATAAATTATCAAGTAACAAGTCTTCATCAATATCAATAAAAATTAACTCGTTTAAGTTTATTAATCTTTTTATATAAATAAACAGACCAAACTCTGAACAGCCAAAATCAATTAACTTATTAACGTCTTTACGCCATTTCTCGTTTAATAAAGTTTGATATACCTGCCCATATCTTTGCAAATATGCTGGGGGGTCAAATTTTATATTGTATTCTGCGTCTTTCTTGCAAATAATTGTGCAATTATTTTCGTCGTTAACAAGTGAACATTTATAGAACAAACCTATATTCTTCATTATCTTGTTAACAAAATAACTAAATAGATGAAATAACACAATCATTTAAAGCATATTTCAAAACAAATGTAATGTGTAAACTATTCTGATTTAACCTTATTTAAATTTGAATTAAAAACGCTGTTCCAATCATAGACAGGTTATTTGTTGATGTTTTTATTATTTGTTTGTTTAATGTGTTATTTCAAAAAACTTGAAAAAAATTAACCATAGGCTATGCTAAATATATATTTAAATTTGTTTATTTAAAAAAAAAATATTGTAAGTTTTGGAACAACACTGTTGCTTGTCCTTCATTCTTCAAGAAGAAGAAGATTGTTTTATAACCCTATTTTGTGATAAAAATTTGTTGATAGAACTTTGTCGGTTATATATTCACTTTTATGCTGTAAAGATACACCAAAATGGCAGGAATTGATGTGGTTATCGAAGAAAAGAAAGAAGATGCAGTAGATAGGCAAAAGGTAAGCCTATTCAGTTAATTAACTTAAGGTAACTTCACTAATAAAAATCTGTTTAGGTTTGTCCATTTTTGCTTCGCGTTTTTGTATCAACAAGCGGCTATCACTTTAAACTAGCAGATTATAACAAGGGAAACACTCCCGCAAATGAATTACAAATTTACACATGGAAAGATGCCACTTTGCATGAGCTAATGCAACTTGTTAAAGAAGTAAATCCTGAAACAAGAAGGAAGGGTACAAAATTTAATTTTGCATTTATATTTCCTGATAACAGAGGACCTATGTATAGAATGAGAGATATTGGAACCACCACAACAGGTATTAAAGGACCAGATGATTTAAAAACATTGGCTCAAGCAAGATTCACAATTGGGGATTATATGGATATTGCAATCACTCCTCCTGATTCATGGAATTCTGGTGGAAGAAAAGGATACTCCAATAATTTTAATAATCATAGACAAAGACCTTATTAGTTTTTTGTGTTTGAATTATAAAATTTTTATATTATAAGTGTATTTTAAGGGTGTGCATTTTTCAAATAAATCATGAAATCATAAACAAATTAAGTAGGTAACTTTTGTAATCCACAGAATATTTATATAATAATGGTAAACTAAACAGGTTACATGTTTCCTACGTCCCCTCAAAATTAATTTTAAAAATTAATAAAAAAGCACAGAAAAGTCAGTGCTACAGTACCGCTTGTACCAGTCAGATGTATATTTCTATTGCTCCACAAAAGATACAAATAACCAAAATAAATCCAGAATACCTAAAAGGTAATTACCTATACTATAAGATTTTGTTCAACAGTGTATAGTTCCGCGAATCCCAATTGGGATTCGCGGAACTATACACCTTAAGGTGCATAATCTCATCAACCAGGACTAAAGTGCAAAGTGTATATTGTCACTCCTGCCATCCACCTTTTCAATGTGGCGGAAAATTGATATCAATTAGAGAAAACAAGGGGCATCCGCAAAATTTTCGGATAAGTATTTTATTAATTAATAAAATTAATGTTTGTACGTCGCTGTTCACAGTACTAAAAATTTGTAATTCTGTAATTCACCAAGCCTACAAAGCCTCCAGGTTTCTACCTTCTCGAGTAGAAAACAAAAACAAAATAGGTGAACAGGGAACTAAAAACCAACATCATAATAGACCAAAAAATAGCTAAACCAATTACTGATCCTCTAACATAAAAAAACAAATAAACCGTAAGTATTAGTCTTCTGCAAGCATAAAATAGTATAACAGAATAATTGCGCTTACCATTTGTTTAAATAATAAATAAATTCAATACTTATTGTTGGAAATTAAGAAAAAAGACAAAATAATATACATTTAAAAAAAACATCAAAAGCTATCGACCCGGCGACACATGTGCAGGAACAATTCTTCTTGGACATGGACACAAACCTCCCTGGTTAAAATGTCACATAGAGACCCCCTAGATATCACAATGTAATCACGATGCGCGCACAGTGAGTGCACGCGTGCGTCTTTAAACGGCACGCGTGCGCGCAGATCACTACACAGATGCGCTTACCTATGCGTCTCATATGCAGCGCACGTGTGCCGGCGCATTTAAAGCGCACTTGTGGTGACGCATTTCCAGCGCACATTAATGAGTCAAAAAAGATGTATATTTCAAAAGGAAATACAAAATGGCACAAGCACCACATTTTTCGAAAAATTGTTAGAAGTACAGGTTGATAGAGAATTAAATTCTCTAGCTATAGCTAGAGAATTTAATTCTCTATCAACCTCTATAGAGCTTTAATTTTTTTTTAAATTTTGGAGTTTGTGCCGTTTTGCCTTAAACCCGTTGATATATATATTCTGTTTTAGGTTTCCACGGGCGTTATATGTATTGGTGGTTTTCTGCTCCGTGTTGTCGGTTTTTAGTTTTTAAAATAACCGTTTGTCTGACGACGTTTCGGTACATCTATGTACAATCTCACAATTTCTATTTGGGGTATTTTGAGGTTTTTAGCTGCAACCTTTGGGGGAAATTCAAGTTTTCAATCTGGCTGCTTTTGTTGGCGAACCTTCTTCTTCTTCTTCAAAAAGTATTTGGCCTTTAGCTAATTTGAAAGCTATTTGACCAGAGTTGGCGAATACAGACCACAAAACTAGGATATGATCAAGACCGAGATGTGCCGTTAGCGCAAGCGTCAATGTTTTAATGGTTGCATACAAATCTTTTTCTTGAGTAATTTAAATTTGCAATTAATATAAAACTCGATTTTGAAAGGGCCCCTTGTAAAATTATGAATTATATATTTATTTATATTTATAATATCGAGAAACATTTGCCATTAGTAAATCTATATCTTTGTAAGGATAATTTTAATTACATATTGTTAAATATAGGTAGGTACCTAAGCATAATTTTGCCCAATATATTAACTGTGGAGCAAACATGCAAAAACCGATAAATCCATGTTTACATTTGAAGAATATAGTACTTTGCTCTTGCTAATTTTGGTAAACTTGTTTTAAACAGCTTTTTAAGGAAAAACCAAAACAGAGACATCTCCTTTTATTAATTTTTAAATATTTGAGGGACTCGGCTGTACACACTTTTGGCCAATATCTCAGGTTAAGTTAAAATAGATTTATCAGCTTTTACAAGTTTGCTCCATAAATATTGTTAATAAATAAAAGAAACATATTTTAATAACAGCTTTTTATTAACAGCATTTCTATAATAATATTAATATCTTATAAATAAAACAATAAAAAGAAACTTAAAACTAACTTAAGGGCGTAACTTCATTTGTTTCTCCTGTTCTATATTAAATAAATGAATTGATTGTAAATGCTCCACTAAATCTTTGTTCACATTCTTCTTCCAAACAAACAAGTTTTTGTATAGTTGAGTTTCTTTATGAACAAGTCTTAAATGTCTATTTAAAGATCCTTTTAGCTTAAAATGATTTCCGCACGTTTCACATATGAATTATATGTTCAATAAATGAAAGATCTTTATTTTAATATAATTAAAAAGTGATTATTACTGTATAATGACTAAAAAAAAAGGTTTAACTCGCACAACCACAACTAGTACATAACATAACCTCAAATTTATAAAAAACGCGCTTAAACTTTTGAAAGCACAGGTTATGCTCATGCGCAAAACTAACGGCACATCTCGCTCTTGATCATATCCTCACAAAACTAGTTTTGTGATACAGACGCACTGTATTCATGGGTAATGGCCTTTAGCTTAATTAAAAGCTATTTGGTCAGAAAGTTGGCGAACCTGTAAATATTATAGGTGAAAAGTGTGGTTATGTATGCCGACGAAATAGTTTCTTAAAAATATCTGTATTATGCTTTAAACTACTTAATTGAATAACAATTCCCTAGAATAAAATTAAACAGAATAATGATTGCAAAAATGAATTTATGTAGAGTTAATAACTCAAGCACTTCAAAACTTATTAAGGTAAGAAATTTTGCTTCCGTGCTGCCAAATGAAGAATACACAGTCACTCCTCAATATCCACCCATACAAGATTTATCGTACTTAAAAAGATTAGAAAGAAGGCATGAAGAAACCAGGGAAAGCATTAAAGATGTAAAGACAGTAGAAGAAAAGCAAATTAGGTTAAATATGCCTAAATATTATGGTTTTAAATCATATATCTTATCTGAAGATTATATACCTTACAACAACTTACCTTTAATACAACATGTTACCAGAACACACCTTATTGTTGATAAGGAGTTACCAGAGTATTATAGAAGGGTTTATATAGATGAATTGGTTGGAAAGACAAAAGCAGACATTGAAGAAGCTATATCTATTGAAGTTGAAGGCCAAAAGTAAGAAAAAATTAAATTTATGTATTTGTAAGTAAATTAAATGTTTTGTTTTTCTAGGAGACTCCATGAAGTCATCAAAGAAGACCTACCAATTCATGAAGTTGAGAATATTTTCAGTTCTTCAATAAGCAAACAAATAAACAGAATTATAATAAATAATCTTAAGAAAGCATATCCTCATTTATTAGATGTACAGGTAATAGTCACTCTAATTTCAACAGGGTTTTTTAAAGAAACATTTAATTGCATAGTTTGTATATTGTATTATAAAAATGCCAGAATAGATCTGACAAATGATCATGGGCGCCAAAAATTAAATTTATTTTAGATTATGTTAAACTTCTTAATAATCATAACTATAGTAATTATTAATATGCATGTAAGGTATTTTTTAAGAAATTTGTTTAGATCTTAATAATCTTAATAATAAACTTCTTAATAATCATACCCAATTAGTAATTATTAATGTGCATTTAAGGTATTTTTAAAGAATTTTTTTTAACTAAGTTAATTGCTTCATTAAGTTAATATTTATATTAGGATGTGGTCACAATGGGCTACAAAAAGGAAAAAAAACAAGTTATAAAATTTGTTTGTCTACAAAGTAGGGGTGTCAATCCCAGGATCCTGTAAAAAACTGATCCTAAAAATCCCGGGATTAAAAGTCCCAATCCTGGGATCTTTGTAATAAGTTACAAAGAATAAAATATACTTTTTTAGGCGTATGACAATTTTCATATTATAACACTCATAAGCCTATACAGAATGACTTAATTTTTGAACTGAGTTCAAAAGTCAAATTATTAAACATCGCCAATATTGAAAATACATTAAAATTACATAGGAACAGTGGTTCTATCTACCGCGTTTAGTATGAAAACAGCAAAGCAAATGTAAAATTAATGGCATTAATCTCTAATTATTTTATTATTTACCTAACCAATACATTCAAAATACAAAATATGGTTTCAAAACTCTGACATTTCACAGATGGCTACAACGGATTCTAATTCTTTAAAGACAAAATGGAAAGGCCGGTCGCAAAAATTAAATATGAATGTGAAAAACTCACCAAGGCTCGATTAATAAAAGAAATGGAATTATTTGTTGATGTGGGCACAACGAATTTTTGAAAACCATTCCTCCAACTAGTCTGAAGTCCAAAAGATATTATTTGTGTCTTTATTTTAAATTAGTTTTAAAATTAAAGATTTATATTTTTTCGGGACTGATCCTGGGATTGAAAAAATGGCTCGGGATTGACACCCCTACTACAAAGTTATGCTATTGAAAAGCATTTATTTTCTTAATTAAATTTGCAAAACCATATTTACAGGGCCGTCTTTAGCTGTTTTGCCGCCGGTGGGCAAAGTTAAATATGCCGCCCTACACGGTTTTCATTTCAAAACACTTTGTGCAATAATCTTTAGCAGGCAAATTTACTAAAAATTACAAAACAAAAACATTTCTTCCCTATTCAAAATTTTAAAAGATTTTTTTTTCTAATTAAGTATTGCCCTGCTTTACAGTTTATCCACAGATGGGATTACAAAAAGAAAAAAAATACATTTCTCAAAAAATTCCCCCGAAAACATCATTTTAATCATTTTAATCTCTTGTTAATTTGAATTTTTAGCAATTTTGGACTGAAATTTTTTTGATAAAAATCGTCAGTTTTTGTTAATTTTTTTTCAAAATCAAGGAAAAACCTCGGGAAAAACTTTTATCGCACCTAAAATCAAACCAGGACATAAATATATATTTCGATGCAAAACTTAATTCGATTTTCTTATTTATTTTATTTTTTTTCGCGTGGTTACCGGAGAAAACTCTACTTTCGAGGAATCTCTTCTTTCTTCCACTAGTTGCTCAATATACTAATCTTAATGACAAAATTTTGTCATTAAGATTAGTATATTGAGCAACTAGTGGAAGAAAGAAGAGATTCCTCGAAAGTAGAGTTTTCTCCGGTAACCACGCGAAAAAAAACACCATAAAAATTATGTAATTATGATAAAGTATTGCAGTGAGAAATTATTGCAATAAGAAAAATGTAAATACAATTTGTATTATTTTAAAAAAATATGACAAAATTATAATTATTAATATACAATTTACCTATTTCCATTTTAATGGGTATAATTTTTAATATGATATAATCATTTTTGTTTTTATAAATTTTAAGGTTGATAATGATCCAAGAGTTGAAGCATGCTGGTATGCAGGAGGAATGGTGCCCCCAGAAAATATTAAACGCTACAGAGAAGGTAGAGAATGGACAAAGGAGTTCAAAGATTTGCCTACTGACAGATTAATGTCTTACGAGGGTAAAGTTAACCTAAGTTTAAGAACAAATGCGCCTCTGCCTGCTTTTGTAAATTATTCGGAAGCTGAGAACCCCGATTTTGATGTGCCATTCTTTAAGTATGATCCAAGAACTGTAGGGACCAAAACTTTACACAAGAGGATTGTGAATGTACCAGGTAAATAATCTTTTTTTTAGTAAAACAAAATGTTGTTTATATCAGGGCCGTGTGCAGGTTTTTCTCATGGAAGGGTTAAACATATGCAAAAATAGTGTGCAAAATGGCCCCTAAGGGTCGTCCATAAAGGACGTCACGCTTTTTTAGGGGATTTTTGAACCCCCCTCCCCCTTGTCACAAATGGTCACAGCAGCGCCAACTCCCCATGTCACGTCACAAATTTAAAAAACTAATTAAATGATCATACAAATTTAAGGTAGTTGTGCTAAACAATTTTTTTAACATTTTTTTATTTTTAAAACGTATAAGTATACCTAAAAACAAGATTCATATATTAGCCACTGGACTTCTACTCTAAATTTGGAACGCAAATTTGATTTTGAAGCAAAGTACAGGGGACAAGTTTTACAAATGGTTACTAAATCTTTCTGTACTGACGAACAAAATGAATCATAAGGAATAAGAGAGGGCTCAGCAGATTTTGGTAACATTATTTGCCAATGAGGCTTTTTGAATTAAACAGTGATTGGAATTTAGCTGTTAAACTGCCTTCTAATTTTGTTGGTGAAGGAATATTGGCTTGTTCTGACATGCTGCGCTGCCCATTTCAAATATTTTTGGAAAATTCACCAATATTACCTGTAATTGTTATATAAATCTATCTACTAGTTCGAACACAAAATATGTATGAAAAGTATTTAATTTTGGAGAAAATAAGTATAGAAAATCCTTTTTATTGAGTATGAGTATGAGTATGAGTATGGGAACGTATGGCAAGCCCCAGATATATTGTCATCCACTGATCTCCCGGGGTTATATTACCCCCTTTCCGTTCTCCTGCGTATCCCGCCAAATCACAGCATTACCTGTGTTTGTTGGATCCGAAGTTTTTACGCCGGCTGGTAGATCCACCCTAGGAGTTCGTGGATGACAGTGTCAAAGGTTAAGGCAGCTCCCGGGATTTTTGTCAGCCGGGTCGGGCCATACGTCCAGTTTAGGAAGGGCTTTTGGAGGACATTGAACTGACCCAAAACTAAGTACAATCCGGAATCCTCCTAAACCAGGGCTTTAGTAATAACCCCATTCATTTGGTATTCCTGAATGGGGGTGGGTGGATTAGTATGCTGCTAGCGCCTTTCCTTGATGGTGTACTTCTTGATAGCCGCTTTAGAATTGTTTGCCCCCCTGTGCGTTATTGAGTCGTATCTTCCGAACCGAAGTGTTGCCGACCGCACCCCGCCGTAATATTGCCCTCTGACTATGTGGAAATACGTTTAACCTACTGGAATTGTCGACCCTCGAATTATTTTTTTTCCCCACTGTGCATCCCAGTGATTCTTAGAACGCTTTACTTAATTTATGAACCCTTACGTCTTGGTAATCTATAGATGTAAACATAAATAAATAAATTTCTTTAGGATGGTTTCTTTTGCTTAATGTTTATCGTAACTTGAGTGATTCATGGCTTCTTATGTGCCCTTGGGTTTATGGTTTTTTTTTACTGTTTCATTTGCATGAGAATCTTGGAAATTGTTTGCTACTTATATTATATTATCATCATTTTATATTTAATATAAAAATACATGGTAGCTTCTTCAGAATTATTCTGAAGAAGCTACCGTGTAGCGAAACAATTGTTAATTTTATAAAAAAAATATATAAATAAAATAGTGAAACTTTAAAACAGTGTTGTTTTTATTTATATATTAATAATATGGAGTTTCATATAGTAATAAAGGTCGAAACAATCAACAATTGTAGAAAAGGTTAAAAAATCTATTACAATATTTCAAGAGTATTCTGTAAAAATTTGAACTTATATAAACTGTAAGTACTTTTTACTTTTTCTTAAACATTCTTAAAAGAATTAAAAATTGATAATAAGAAAAATAAAAAAGCATGAAATTCAAAAATGTTGTGTGTTTCTGCAGTCTATAAAAATTTTAATTTAAGAAACTGGGGCATTCCACAATACTCGGGAATTTTTGTTATTATGCTTGTAATTAAATTTTTTTGAAAAAGATAAGTATAGAAAATCCTTTTTATTATAAGTAAAAAAGAAACGAATTTCGGACCCCTCCCCACCCCCTTGTCACGAATGGTCACGTTTTGCTAGACCCCCTCCTAGGGCTTGACGTCCTTTATGGACGACCCCTAAGGAAGCTGCAACCTCTTAACGGGGCGCCCCTGAAGATGCTTTTTTATTACTATTTCCAAAACAGTTTGAGATAAAATAATTTTTTATGCTTTATTAACTTTTTATGCTGAATTTAAAAATAACAAAATTTAAAAAAATTATTTATGAGTGTTATAAACAGGGTATTTTTTGCTGCAGAATATAAAAATTTAGAGTTTTCTTTGAAATCATCAATAAAATACACCATTTTTGAATAAAAGTACAATAAAAAATTTATTATATCATATATATTTAACAGGAAATATACATCTTCAGGGGCGCCCCTTTAAGGGCTCTGTAGGTCCCTTGGGGGCCATTTGCCAACCTTTATTCATATAAAGTTTTTTTACTATTTTTGACCCTAAAAACCGCTTTTAGATTATTGCACACTATTTTTGGGACGCCCTGTATACATTTAAAATAATAAGTCTGAGATGAGATATTTTTTGTGGTGTTAAACCAAAAACTGAAATAAAAGGGAAGGTCAGCAGAAGTTTTTTTTTGCTAATAGCCAATTTTTTGTTCATTTGATAAAATTGAAAAAATCTTTTGGTTTTGTTATCATTTAAACTGAATTATCAACAATATAATATTGCGCAAAATCTGCAAGGATGTTTGACTTATTCATTTAAAAGAAATGGTTGAAAAGGTCAAGAAGTAAATCTAACTAAAACCTCATTTTAGTTATCTATGTCGAACGTCGAAAATCAAAACAGCCGTGTTGTAGAAAATTTAATAACAAACATTTTAATATATTTATTTAAATTGTTTAATCCTTACTTTTATTTTCGCATCTACAACAAAAATTGCAAAATCGTAAAAAGTTATATTTTTGCCAGTAAACATAATAATAATAACATATTATAGAATGTATTCTCTATGCTAGTAAACTACATGAATTAAAACATGCACTGTTTTATTAACGAACTAAACTATTTATTTTATAACTTAATTACAATTAAAACACTAATTATTTATATATCACTACTGTGCAAAAGTCTATTTCCACGTATATATAATTTATTTCGTTACGAGTAACAAAGCTTGACTGACTCGGCGACGCTTCGCTGTGCCCTATATGCGTATGTGACCCACGCAAGCACATTCCCGAACATTCCAGCGAGCTCCACACCGCTCTCGATCATCGCTCGAGCGTTTACTCACCGGCGATGACTCATCGGCGAGATCCGAGATCCAGAGTGGTACCCGCTACAATATAAGTTGGAACAGTTTAAAACGACGTTATGATACGTAAAAAGTGAATAAAATTAGATTTTAAAACAAAACTCGTACGGTTGTATTGATTATAGACGTTTAAGTTTGACATAGATGACGAAAATGAGGTTTTCGTTAGATTTGCTTCTTGACCTTCTCTACCATATCTTTTAAATAAATAAGTCAAACAGCCTTGGAAATAGATTAAAATTTGCTCAATATTATATTCTTCAAGAAAAAGTAACAATTGTTTATATCTCTTGTATTGTTGTTGATAATTCGAATGATAACAAAACTAAGTGATTTTTTCAATTTCAACAAAAACTGAAAATTGGCAATTTTTAAAAACATTATTTGGTCTAGAAACCTACTATTTAGGTCAAAATAATTTTGTGATCTTATTAATTGAGATAGAGCTCTAATTTAGAGACTTAGAAATAAATAGGCTTCACAGTAGTATGTGTATTCATTCTACTAAAACTAAAAATAGTCATTTTTTCTTACACTTTACAAAACTTATTAATTTTTTACATGTTTATAACACTGGTCCGCAACGAAATCCTTAAAAATATTACATCATAAATATGAAGATTTTAATCCTCCGAATTTGTTTTTTTTTTCAAAATATAAATTTAGGTTTTTTAAGTTCGTTGTATGCCTAAACATTATTAACAGTGTATATACATACAAAATAGGTTTTAGCGAGTCGTAAGAGAAAGAAGGAAAGTACCGAAAGTGATTTTTATGCTAGTAGTATTCGCTGTTACTTTACAGCACTTGAAAACTTGTCTTTTAATTGCAATTGTTTACTTTCTATATCAAATATTTTGGTAAGTTTTGTTAAGTATTTTATTTGTAGTATATGTAAAACTTAAGCCATAGTATTTTTCACGTTTTTGTAATTGTTGTTACTTTAATAATATCGTTTTTCATTAAATGGACATAATACTTAAAATCTATTTACTGTATTCATTTGCATGTTAAATTCCGTGTTTAGAAAACAGTGAGGAGAAAAAATATTTTTTTTGCAGACCAGTCTAATTAAAGATATTTTTTTAATATAATTTAAATGCAGATAATATTTATAAATATAAAAAACTGTTGATTAATTTGTAAATTTATAATAAAAAACTAGAATTAAAATTTAAAAATAACAATTTTACTTCAAGGTACTTTCTGAACTTGGACCTAATACCTAAACTAAAATTAAATACCATTACATATTTACATATATTATAATATCTTATATTATATTCATAAATGTACGGTTTCTAACAATATTAAATTTAAAGGTTCATCATCTAACTGTTTATTTTTGGGCGTCAAATATTGTTTTTTACCAGTAAGCATCGGGCTAGATGTTGCAAGTAACCTGTGAATTAAATCTTTTTGTCGATATTCTACCAATTTTTTTCGTATGGAATTTTTTTATTTTTTTATAATACCTATTTTGTGGTTTCTGGGTTTATTCTGATAGTCTTCCTATTGGCAGGGAAAAGTTACTTATGATATCCAATCCGTGAAGAAGAATGATATGCAAAGAAGCCGGCATATAATAATATAATAATTTTAGTTTTCCAAAAGTACTTCTTAAATTTTACAGTGTCAATATTTTCACCATATGCTATTAATTGTAAAATTTATAAAACCTTTTAATTAAGCTAAAATCTACTTTTGTAATTTCAGAACATTTCTTTTGTAATTTCAGATTTCATCTTAAAAAAATGTTTTGGCAGTATTCCCATCATTTTCCAGTTTTTTTGTGTCAGTTCTTCATCATTTTCTCTCCTTGCTGACCAAGACCCAAATGACATATTATATGCAATATAAAGTATACACTTCATAAAGCGGATCCAAGCATATAAACTTAATAATCCATAGGGATCTTTCCTCACATATTTGCCTTTAATTATGCCCAGGTCGTTCATTTATTTGGGTGTTGCCCCACAATTAATGCAGGCTTGTGATGAAGGGGTACCATTAAGTACTCAACTTTTTCCATCCAACATCGTAGAAAGCATCGTGTACTTAATGGGTCCATTTTTTAAATTTAGTTGGTATTACATTTTCGATTTCTTCATTGATTTGTTCTACCTCTCTTTTAATTACGTCTGCAGATTCTTTTATGTATTCGAATTTTATGGGCCTGCAATACTGTAGAAGGTTGATGATTCTCCCATATATTCGCATTATGTTAATCCTTTAGTAAGACTGGCACCATTGAACTCATAAATATACTGGCAGTGGAGAATTTTTGCATGTATTCTCCCTTTCCAGATGATCCATCACAACACCATTTTACTATTAATTCCATAATTATTAAAAGTTACTGTGGACCAATTGCAGAACCCATTTCGGTCGAAGTTATATCTCTAGGATAACATTTACCCTTGGATTTTAGGATATATTCATATGCTGGAAATAAATTAGAATTGTGGCAGAAAATAATTTTGGCTTTGGTCTACTATGTTATTAAAAAATAATATTTTTTAGGATTCTGGCCTGGCGATCCAAACCAATTTGGCATTTTGTCCTACCATCCAAGGGGTCACCTCCATACCAGGGAAAGGTTTAACGATCCTCAAGAACATAAAGAAGCTCTACATAGACAAGGCATCCTAGCATCTTTTGCCTGGCTTAGCGCACAAGCCAACTTCCTTGGTTTTAACACATTTAACGACATAACCTACCCATTGGCGAATCAATTGGTAATCACCAATGGTCAGACATGGTCTTTCTATGCTTACCAACTAAATACCATGTTGATGCATGGTAAGTATATTGAAAAAAATCCCAAAAAGAATATTTGCTGGGCCACACCTGAGTTAAAGTTATATGACAATATAAACAATGGTAAAGTGGAGGGTTTCAATGATGATGTCTTGAAAGTATTACTGAAATTTTATGGTAACAAGCCTGAGAAACGCCTAGGCTTAAATATGACACCGTATTTGCGGCACAAAGAAAAATTAGTTGCTGATTATGAGGACGATGAACAACGCGAATGGCTTGAAAGAGAGTATAAATTTTTAGTATCCAATAGACCAAGATTAGTCGAGATGGATGAGATGTACCACTGGGAGAAGATTTATAAGAAAGATCACAAAACAAGGTTTATGGACAAGAAATTAAGACCATTTGAATTGCTTAAGAAACCTCAAGACAGAACATTAAATGACAGGCTAGGCAAATATATACCAAGAGCTTTAAGACCAGGTCTTCCCAGGAATAAGGGTAGAAGGGCTAGGGAATTTTGGCCTTAATGGTTAGATAATTTTGTTATTTAATAAATTTGTAAATAATACATTTTTATTTACGTACCTTACCTGAATCTAGTTTTTTTTCTTTAATTTCATATCCTACATAAGTTTATTTAACAGTTATTGTATTATCTTAATTTTGTAAATAATAAAAGGCATGTTTTTATAAATTATTTATTTATTCACAAATTAAGAGGTTTTGTTCCCCTTTATATTGTGTTGTTGGTAATATGTACAGTATTTACATGTTTTGGACTGGCTTGACTGATTGTCCATCTTTTTATTATGTCTGAGAGAAGAATAGGTTTTTTTAATGTTTAAATTAACAAACTATTTTTCATATCTGATGCAACATTTTTAGTAAGATTTCTATTTAAATACACAGTATTTATCAAAATCCATATAACTAAAAAATCCATATAAAATAAAATAAAAATTAGTAATAGAATGAATTGTACAGAATAAATAATTTAAGCAGATATAAATTTTACATTTAAAATTTACAAAATTGTACAATTTACTTGTTTTAATAAATATTCTATGGAATAGATTATTTTATATAGATAAATATCGCTATAAAGGCACTGATATTTTATTTTTCATTGCATGGACCTAGCAAACATTATTCTTAGTGACTAGTAACTTTAATATAGAATAATTTCTTTACAAAAGTCAAAATATAAAATTTATTACTATTAATTGTAGTAAGACAATTAATAAAATAAGTACAAAACAGTAACAGGTGAAATAAAAAAACCAGTTTTCACGTAGTTGATCCATCGTTCAATGAAAAAACTCGGTTATTTTTAATAGTAAAAATAACAGAGTAGTTTTATTGAAAATATGTCTAGTTTAATTAAGATACTCAGTCAAAAGCACTAAATAAGAAATTTAACAGTTAACAATAATGTACAAAAATAAAAATGCTTTTAAAAAAATTATTATATGAAACTAATATTTTAGAATGGTCCCTACTATATTGAGATTTATACAATATCCCCAAAGCACCAAGAGTATAAAATTATTTGAACCTTATAAAATACATCAATTTAAGCATTGATGTACTGAAGGTTTAAACTAACAACAGTTCAACTCTCAGTACATTTACAAAAAATGCAAGTAACAAAATATGTATATTTTATCAAAATATATTATAAAATTAACCACATTAATTTTGTTATTTATTTAATAAACAACAAATTAATGTGCATATATAGGGTGCTTCTATGTATAGGTATCTTTTTTATTTGAAGAGCTACAAGGTCGGTTAAATTAGACAAAAGTTGCGTATACAAGTATTATTAAAAAACTGGGGAAAAAATCAGCGGTTCTTGAATAATTTGAAAAAAAGACCTCTCAAAATTAAACATTGTTATTCATGGAAATTTTGAAACAAGTTTTACAAACCAATTATGTTAAACTGAACTAGAAATTGGATGAAAATGTAGATTAATGTGTATGTTTACATATAATTTTTTTTTGTTTTAAAATTCCCAGGAATAACAAAGTTATGATTTTTGGTTTTGACAGGTTTTTAGTTTTTTCAAATATTTTAAAAACCGCGTTTTTTTTTTAATTTATAAATTTCATGATAATAGCCTTGTAATTAGGCAAATTTTCTCTAATTTAACAGACCTTGTAGCTCTTATAAAAAAATTCCCATAGAAGTATACACATAGAAGGATACTTGGTGCACCCTGTATTTATAATATAATTTGGGTTCATTAGTTTAAAAATTTGTTAAAAGTTCATAATATAATTTACTGTTTGTAAAGTATTTGTAAATCTGCACATTTATACAATTACATTACATACCCTGCAAGGTTTATTTATTAAAAATACCTGCTTATTACATAAATAAATGCTTTTTTATATTAAAATAGTACGGTTTTATTCAATTGTAGTACTTTTGTGATCTGTTTAAACAGGTATTTTTCAGCAGAAGTTTTATCGGACGGAAACCTTGTTACATTGTTCCAACTTTCGCATAATCAATACAAATTCAGCCTTTTTAGTACAAAAATTACAACTAAATATATTATACAAAATGATCCATGTTTTATGTGTCGCTTTACTCTTTCAACATTAGAATAACAATTTTATTCCTGTAATCAGCCTTTGTTGGAACAAGTTGCACGATCAACAAAAATCACCTGCAAGGTGCTAATAACAGCACCTCTAACCAGCAGGGGCACGACGTTATGTCCCTTCGGCTATAGGTCGCGCCCCAGCCTTTGGCAAAACTGATCCTTATGGAATGGGGATCGACAGGTCCAATATTGGCTTGAGCAAAGTTCCTATACCTATAGGCGTACAGCGGGTTGTAGACACAAAGACAATGCTCAGCAGGTACACGAGTAGGGTTTAGGGAAGGATTCGTATCGGGGTCCTCCAGAGTCAGCGAGTTCACGAAAATCGGCACGTCGGATCTGTTGTACAGCCAAACGCAGCCATCCTCGCGAGAAAGTGTTATTCCTGGAAACAAAAGAAACAAATTTAGAAAAATATAATTTTCTTCACGTTTTTAGAGCACACAGCTGAAGTGAAACTTCTTTTGAAAAATTTCATTAAATTCGTGTTTTGTTTTTATGTTATCAATATTTTGATAATAATCATTATATTGTTTAGGTTTCCTGAAGAATTCAACATTTGCTGTTTCAGTTTCATCTCTCGTAACGCCAAGTTTTGGTTTGCACTTTTTGCACCGTCTGCAAAGAAGTTTCACTTCAAAAAGTTCAAGGAAGTCAGGTCAAGGGTATTTCCATTGTAACGGGTGCGACACTAAAACTGTGTTTTTTCATGAAAATAAAGTGTTTGTTCATATATATTAGGATACGTTAATAAAAAAAAATATATAAAAAATTAGGTATTTAATAGGGATGTGCGAACTATTCGTTCCGAATTGAATATTGATATTCGATTCGGAACTCGAATCAAATAATTCGAAAATTCGAATTTTTCGAAAGTTCCCGAATAATTCGAAAATTTTCGAATAATTCAAATTTTTTTCGAATAATTCGAAATTTTCGAGTATTTTGAATTCAGGGTTTCTTATGTTCAATATTCAAATATGAATTTAACAGTCAATATACATTTTATTCAATCAATGAAATATAGTTACACAAATAGAACAATTAGTATAGTTTTTTTTTAAAGAGAATGAAATAACAGAAATTATATCGTAGCAAATACGTATTTACTAATACTGTACAGTATTATGAAAAATACAACATTTGAAAATTTGCTACAAATTTTTGTTCAAAAATAATAAATACGATACTGAAACATTACATGAGATAGATTTTTTTCAAACAATAATACCAAAACAATTAGAAAATATCTCTTGCCAATATTACCTACCATCTGGATTTTTTATGTTACCGACAGAGATGAACATAATATGTATATTATATTGAAAATGAGCAATTGTTTTCTGGGTAAGTAATTGATTTTTAAACGAAAAGTATATTATTTGTAAGTAGAATATTTCTATACACGATTTAAAGGAATTTAAATGAAAGCAATTGAAAATCCAGAGATATTTCATTATTCGAGAATTATTTGAAAATTTTAGAATTATTCGTAGAATTTCGAATAATTTGAAAATTTAAATTATTCGATTCGATTCGAACGATATTCGCACACCCCAACAAAATATCAATAAAAACATTTATAGAAAACCTTTAATAACGTCATAAATATCGTAACGGGCGCGACCAAGTTGGTTTCTAAAGTTGATACTGTAAAATTTTGGATGAAAGCATATAGTCAGGCCCGGACTGGGACCATTTGGGGCCCTCAGCTAAAACCTGTAAAGGGGCCCTCTACCGGTGGTCTGGGAGGGTATGGAAATTTTTTGAAAATTAGGTGCTTAAAAACGCGTTTTATGCGAAGAATAAATTCAGCTAGGTTTTTATACGAATATTACGATTTTCGAGTTTTGTTGACTTTAATATTTATTAAAATAAGAAATTCACAGTATTTTTAGGATACCACAACACTACAAACACATGATGTAGAACTGCCAATAATTACATGTATACAAAGGAGTTCAAAATAAAGTGCAGTATTTTATTCACACCCAAGTATAATGAATTATGTCAAAATAATTTGTGTAATAAAAATAATGTTATACGGATTTTAGGGATTACACCACAATAACGTAACTCAACTCACAACACAGTAGCTCGTATAAAGCTTTCGTATAAACGGCGAGATATAAACAGTTGTTGGACGTGTTCTACTTTTGAAAATGTAAACATTACCAAGAACTTCTAACAAGACAAAAACTTTTTTTTTGAACATTATGTGGGGACCCCTTTGGGGCCCTCTCGGGCAGGGGCCCTCCGCGATCGCGGACCTGCGGACCTGGCCAGTCCGGGCCTGCATATAGTAATAATTTTTTGTGTAAAACTTGAATAGTAACCTTAAACAAGCACGTATTTTAAATGCACAAAAATTGAATACTTTATTTTCTAAAATTTTCTCAAAATGTAACGGGTGCGACATTTGAACATTTTATCGAGTATTGAAACTTTTCCGTGTTTATTCTTAATGTTAGCTTCTTAGCATCACAATGTACAAATATTTTAAGGTTATAAATTATGTCGCAATTAAACTATGTTATTTTGTTAAATAACAGGAAATCATTTCCAAAAATAAAAAAAAAATTCCATAATACTATCACAAGGTGACGACATAAATAATGTTATTATGATGATGGCAAAATTGGTTTATTTAAAGGAAAACTTTCCCTACCTAATCCAATTTTACACCTAGTTTTCGCTACTGAATCAGGAGGTGAGAAGCTATGTTGGGCCAAGTTTCCCAATGAAATGCCATGTCCGTAGGACGGTTCTTTCCCATATATATTCACAGCCGCACATTCCACATGATATTGATCACCAACCCTTTGCTTTTGCTCCCAGTATGCCAATTTACACCATGCAGACGACGTCATATATGAATCTGTAACGAGAAAAAACATTGTTTAAGTACTTACATATTCTTTATATTGGGGAATTGTATGATGGTCCTAACATATGTTATATAAGAAAATAGCCAATATGCACCTTATTCTACATCCATATTAAGTACAGTTCTTGGTATACTGGTAAGCTGCATATTCGTAATTTCTTATATGTAAAGTTTATGAATATATACAGCCCGTTCAGAATTAAACCGAATATATCTATATATATATGGGGCGTGGCCTCGCCTTCCTCCAAGGGGCGTCACAGTAGCTTGTGTGATAAACGACATGACGAAAGGTCGAGCAGGTAAGGACTTAAAAAATTAAATGATAATAATGCAAAAAATCTCATTAGCGATGCAGGCTATTTGCTTAGCTACTGTGTCGCGCGTTGGAGGGAGGCGGGGCCACGCCCCATATATATATAGATATATTCGGTTTTATTCTGAACGGGCTATATATATATATATTCGTATATTAAACATGCTTAACATAAGTAAGTATTATTAAAATATTGTAACATGAAATCAAAAAAAATATATTCAGATATTTAAAATATCCAACTCTTAAGAGTTGAGAGTTAATTAACTTGACTTTAGCTAATCTAAAGAATTTTGTTACTTTCCATGATAATTTATCGTTTAGAAAAAAACTAATTTTGGGTCATTTTAGTTGAGGTTTATTTCAATGTAGTAAGTACACGGAGAGAAATGTATAGTAAATTTTAGATAGTAAAAAAAAATATAGTAAAATTTACTTTAACAAATTTTTAGGGTAACAATATTATATATTCGTCAATACAATATTAAGATTGTAATACAAAATACTATTTTTTATTGTACAATTTTAGTAAAGATTACAACACCAATATTACTAAATAATAAATGTATAATATATATTTTAATTTTTAATATGTTCGTATGGTTAATTGATTTTACTATCTACAAATAGTAATATTTACTATATGATTTAATCAAATGTGAGGTGTACATCTAATATTATAATATATTACATATTACAATATATATAATAAAAAAATATAGTAAAAATAAAGATACTTTTATGTTTAAGGTAAATAAACAATATATTTAAATATAATATACAATATAGTAACTCATGACATTTTAAACATTCAATTTTCTTAGTTTCTTCAATAAACTTTCTTGACCCATTACTGGTAATACTTATAAGAAATAATTGAACCTACTTGGTTGCATAGTATGTACCGATTGCGGCAAAGGCCAGGTCGCGACGCGTCGTTAGACGGTGTGGATCACGTGATGTTCTTACATCTCGCCTCTGTTGGCTTACCAACCATGTTATATAAGCTCAGGTATTTCTTTGTTTTGGGTGTGTTCCACTACTACAAGTTACTCGACAGTGTCGTGTCGACACTGATGATACCCAATATATGTAGGTCAAAACACCTGTCTGTTGGTATTTGAAGTTGATGGAACGCACTCAAAACAAAAAACTTTAGCGAGGTGTAGGTTCAATTCTTTCTCATAACATTTTTGTATATTTAAAAGTACAATAAAAATGTTACAATTTTTAATTGTTAACATATAAAAATATTAGATTTTAAAGTATTTATATTTAAAATAGCTACATAATATTTTAAAATTTACCATACTTATTAGTAATGAAAAAAATCTAATTAAAATAAGAATTAAAAACAAAATTGGTTGACAATAATAATATTTTACCTTAAGGTTTAACATACATGGATATTTAAAAATTACTAAATATGCATAGTATCTGGCAATACCTATACAAGATAGTTGTACCAAATAGTAATATAAATTATAGTAAAGGGTATTATAATTATGGTAATCAGCATTATACTTTTCTCTACGTGTATACACGTAGCTATAGCTTAATTAGTAGGGACATTTGTGTAGAGTTGTGTAAAATCATTAATACAAGTAATGTATTATTGAGTTTAGAAGTAATTTGGTGGAGAAAATATATATATGTATGTACATTAGGGTGTTTCAAAAAAATCGACTTTTTCTTTTTCTTCAAATGGTCGGCAAATTCTTTCAGAGAATGTCAACACAAAGACCTCGTCAAAATTTGAGCTTTTAATTTGAAGATTTAGAGGTCGCGGATCGCAATTTTCTATTTCCCATTTAAATAACATGGGAATTTTTTTTTTTTAACTTTGAAATTTTATACCTCTGAATCAAATCAACTTATGTCAAGGAACATCTTAGATTTTTATAGTAAATTTAACGCTCTACAAAAAAGGTCTCCTATCATTTTTCTATAAATTGATTCCTTTCAGAGTTATTCGAGGCCAAAGTTTGATTTCCATCGAATTTTCGCGTTTTTTTAACATTTATGGTACAATTATCATTATACGGGTATCCCGAAATCAGGGGGCCAAACTTAAACAGTGCATTATTCGTATAAAAATAACACTTTTTTTGTTTAATAAACATGTATCAAAAAAATGCTCCCTAAAGGAGCTACGGCCCCCTGAATAGGAGCCTACACGGAAAAAAGAAAACAGGAAAACTTAACTTCGCATTTAGCATTTATTACAGTTTCGGGTAGCAAGTGATCTCTTCAAACTCAAAACTGCAATATGTACACTATTTCCGTGATACTGCAAGTATTACAGTTTTAAGTCATATATATTGTAGCTTCAAATCATAAATATATTTTAAAACTTAAAGACTTGATTATAAGAATTACTATCTCAAACTGTAATTTTTCGCACAAGCCTTTGGAACAGGCGTCTGAGAAATAAAAATTACAGTTTCATTTAGTAAGTTGTACTTGAATTTGCTTAAATGTTTATTGATTTTTTAACCCTTTATTAAGATTAGGTAGTGGGAATTTTGCAGTTTCAGATAGCAAAATTTAAAAATCAAGAAATGTAAATTTCACTCGTTTTATAATATAAAATATAGTTTTAGATTTAATAAATGATATTCAAATATCAATCTTTAATGATTGAATAGTAAATTTTGTAGTTTTAGAATGTCAAATATATTAAATTTGCTGAAGTATATGGGGCATTCCACGGTACTCAGAAATTTTCGTCCTGCCCGCCACAATTAAAAATTGTCAATAAAAACCACTTGTAATTAAATTTATTTTGAAATATTGTTTATTATGCTTGTAATAAGCTTGTAAGCATAATAATCTTAATATAATAATAATTTATTACACGCGTGTGGTTTTATTCAGCATTTTTAATATTAACGAACATGAAAATTCCTAAATATTGTGGAAAGCCCTATATACTAATTAAATGCCAATAATAATAAGGTTTAAAAAATTAAAACTTAAAAACATTGTATTTATTTATTTATTACAAATTACACGTAATTAACATAACACAGGAAATATTTTTTTTTAATTAGACAAGAAAATATCAATGTAGGTATATTATGAAAAAGATATATTATATATGTATAATATACATTGTATATATTATGAAATTTTAAAAAATATTTAATTAATCAATTTACTTATTTAGGGTACAAAAACAAATAAAAATATATTCTAAGGAACTTACACCAACATAATAAATCTTTTTTTTTAATTAGACAAGAAAATTTAAAATATTGAATAAAATATGAATAAACCTACTTTTAAGTAAAAAAATAAATGAAAATACATTCTTAGGCACTACATATTTTTACTTAAATATAATTGCCATAGAATATTTATATTCTATGGCAATTATATAATATAATTTAAGTACAAAATAAATAAAAATAAATTATAAGGAACTTATATTCTATGGCAAATATATTTTTTACCGTCAGGTTGACGTGACAATGAACATGTAGCATCTGTTTCTTGTAAATAAAGTATATGCCAATTAGATAAATGCGACAGATAAAAGGTGACAGATGTGACAGATGAAAATTGACATATGACACAACACAGGTGACATATGACAGGTGATAGATGACAGGTGACAGACGAAATGTGACATATGACAATTGACAGATTACAGGTGTCATTTGCCACCTATTATCTGTCATTTGCCACCTGTCACCTGTAATCTGTCATCTGTCAATTGTCATCTGTCACATTTCGGAAATTTTATAAGCTCTAAACGGAACTGCAAATTTATTAATTTTCCTTTACCAAAATAGAGATATAACTGAAAAAAAATAAACAATTAATTTAAAAGCCATTTTTATAAATAAAATGTAAAATATTAGTTATCCTAATAAAATTATTGTTTATCATAAAAGCAACATCAATATTATAATATATAGGTTAATAAAATAATATATTATTTTATTAACCTTCCGCGAATAAGAAATCATTATATTTAAAAAAATTAGCCGTTAGCTAATTAGCTGAGCTAATTGAGTTAACCGGTTAAATTAGTTAAGCTGATCAGTTAGCTAGCTAATTAACTTAGCTAACTTTTTTGGCCGGCTAAATTGTACAGCACTAATATATATATATATATATATATATATATATATATATATATATATATATATATATATATATATATATATATATATATATATGCATATATATAAGCAGAACATATATATACATATATATATGTACATATATATTGAAATGATATAGAATGATTTTAAAACTAATCTTTATAAAAAACCCAGAAGAAAAAAATAAAAAACAGTGGTGTATTAAAATCAACTGGTGCCTGCAGGGCTGATTTGTCTTAATGCCCTTAATAAAAATCCTGAATATGCCACTAAAAGAATATTCAAAAAGTTACTGTGTAATGGAAAAAAATATGCAAAAGCAATGCCAACAAATATTAAACCAACACAAAACACATACTTAAAAATAAAATCCATTATTAAAAGGAGTCAGTTCATGATATTGCTTTTGGTGGTTTCCCTCATTTTCCTTATTACGAGTAGTATGCATTATAATATGTATATATGTATGTATTTTTAGTTTTTAATATTAAAAGCATCCATTCAATAGCAAATAAACCACAAAATCCTTAAACATAACATAAACCACCATTAATTTGCAAATC